TTGTTCATGCTAAATTTACTGCTCTTTTGAGTTTTAAAATTTGATTTTTCAAGATGAATCAGTCTAGACATTCACTTGATTCTTCTTTCCCTTGAATGAGTACATTCAATTGTGCATTTAGGAAAACCTGGCTCAAGTGAATGAATTCAAAACGTAGTTAACTCATGATGATGATGATGATATTCATTCTACTTGTTGCATCATTTGCAAACCTCATTTAGTGTTAAATACGATAGAATTATAACAATTACAAGGCATGCTAATTGTGAGAAGCATTAAAAAAAAAAAGTGCATTTTCTCATTACCTTCCCTCTCACCTGGTCATCACATTGGCCAATGAAACAGTTTTCAAAGATGCAACCTTAGATGACACAATGAGACAGTTTTTTTTTTTTTTTTGAGTAAAAGAGAATTAACTGTAATTTGTTTGGGAGTAGTGTTGCAATATTAACTTTATCTGCAATAAGATTACAAATTTATTTTCTACTACACAATAAAAGCATGCGTATCTACATATAAATGGAGAATTTTCAGGTTTCTTTCGAAAGATCGATTCTAGATTTCCCAATCACTTTCCATTCTTAAGCTCGATGTTTATTAATTAATAAATGTATTGTGCTCATAATGTAAATCATTAATTTTTCTAAACTAAAATAAACTTTATAAAGTATTCAAAAAAATCGGAATCAAGATAAATTTTGGTATCGTCAACAATGTTTTCTTAATTCTTACATCAGAACAAACTGTTTTAAGAAACATTGGCTTAATATTATATTACTAGAAATTTTCCCGTCAAGCATGATGGAATATTTTATATCAGAAAGTAGAGATTGAAGAATTGAGAAGAGTAGAGATTTCAAGAAATTCAAGAAGAGTTGCTGTTTCTATGAATTTGGTAGTATATACTTGAGTTTGATGTTGTGATGCTATTTCTGCAGCTCTTGACAAAGCCATTCTTATTCAATGTTGCTCAGGTTGAACTTCACAGCCTTCAGTGGTCTTGGTTGTTCGTATTCTTTTAGATCTAGAATTTGCCTGACCAATTTTACTCTTACACTTTCCCCTAGGCATTTTTTTTTTCAGCAAAATAGCAAGTCTTTTTAAATCCACGTTGATAAAACAAAGATGAATTGTATGTATGTTGGATGAGCGATAACACTTTCTAAATAATGGGCTCATTAGATCATTACTTCAATTGGATGATAGAATGTCACGTGATCACTATGGAGAGCTTTTTTAAAAAGTCTGTTATAGAAGTGACATAATGAGGTTCTTATTTTTAAAGTTTAAATTTTAAATTTAATGAAGTAAGTTTAAATATATCATTTGCCAAGATATTTAAAACACAACTTAAGAGAAATTTCCTCATCAAGAATGAATGTCACATGATCACTGACGTCACTGCAACGTAAGTGCGATCACTGATCTGAAATCTATAAAACATTTATTCTATAGCGAAAATTTTTTCATAAAATAAGTGGTCTACAGTTTTCATCAGAACATAAAACCAATATAACCAAAATTTTATCTGGATTGGACAAAGATTGTAGGAGTTATAAAGAATTCACCACATACAACAGCCTTTATATTAGTAATTATCCAAGATTTATGAATATGCTTGTATCATCATCATCATCATTATCATCATCACACTCTTCCATTAGTGACAATTGAGTTGTCCATAACTTCACTCTTTTTCTCCATATTTTGCACTCTCTAGCCTGATGAGATATCAGCTGATAGTAGGACCTAAATTGTAAGTCATCTTTGATTACTTCTATCCAACTTCTCATTGGTCTCTTCCCCTCTATTCTTGCATAGAGGATTGTGTTAGGTAGCCTTTCTGGCTTTATTCATTCCACATGTCTAAACCACTATAGTTGTTTCTTGATTATTCTTCTCATGATAAACTCATTGAAGTTCATGCCCTGTCTCTCTTATTAGTCTTTAGTTCAGTCCATTTGGTTCTATTTATATGTTGTAGGTATTTCATCTCAAATGTGGTCAATCTCTTTTCCTATTTATTCAGAATCCAAATTTCTGAGGTATAAGTTAGGATTGGAACAATAATTGAGTTATAAAGTTTGATTTCAACTTCTTTTGTGAGCCTTTTTATTCAGTCTGTTCAATGCCAATCAGATAATTGCTGACCTGTGCCTTAATCATTTCAATGTTATTTAAATTGTCAGTAATGAGGGTCCCTAGGTAATTAAATTTATTTATCTGTTCAATAGATTTTTCCTTATAAATGTACATTTAAAGTTTTCCAGTTTTTAGATATCACCATTACTTTTGTTTCATTGATGTTAATCAACACATTGTATTCTTTTGTCACTTGATTCAGTTTTTATCAATGATGTTTCTAGTTTACTTTTTGAATTTGCAATCAAAACTTAATAATTTTCATAGTTAATATGGGTTAGAGTGTATCCATTTAAATTAATACCATCCAAATCAATCTAGTGAAGAAATTGCTAAATCTTCAAGGTAGATGTTGAAAAGGAGGAGTGAGAGTGGGAAGCCTTGTGGTACTCCTCTCTTCATTGTTATCTTGTTGGTGACCAGACTATTGTATTTTACTAAATTGTTAGTATTATTTAAATGTTTTGCCAGAAAGTGCAAAATCCCGTTATCTATAGGTTTTTGTCTCAGAATCTTCAGTAACTTCTCTCTGTTGATCAAGTTAAATGCCTGTTTAAAGTCTATAAAGTAGAGATATAATTTATGATTATAGTACTAGTGTAGCTCTGCTAGCCTGAATAAAGTAAATATTTGGTCAATTGTTGAATGATTTCCTCTAAATCCTGCCTGTTCAGAGATGATATTTTCATAAGTGGTTTACAACCTATTTTTAAGTTATTCTTGTAAAAGTTTTTCTATATAATTGTGGGTCCACTGAAAATTGAAAATAATCTGTCCATATTTGTATTATTTTTTCCTGGTTTCCAGTTTCATTTCCTGACTGGTCAATCATTGTCAGGGGGAGCAGTAGAGAACTTGGATGTATCTCTCTGATTGTTTTAAATAAGATTTTAGATTTATGCATTCTTGCAGTCTCTTCCCATTGCTCAGCTTTATCACTGAGCCATTTCTAGTTAGCTTGTTTGCAAAGCTTGGCTATTTCATTTTTTAGTTGCCTAAATTTTTCTCTTCCGTATTGTCTTGATCTGATTAAAACCTTTAATTTTCTTTTTTCCTTGCACTCGTCCATAATTTCCTGAGTCCATTCATTGTTAGGTATTCTTCTGTATCTGAAAATCTCTCCTGTTGTATTTATTATGATGTACTTGCCAGTTTTCCGGTATGTATTTATATTTTCAATTTTAGAATTGGCTAAATTATTAAGGTCATTTAATTTTATTTGAAAATTGTTTCTTTTCTCTTCTGTAAAGCTGTTGGTGGAAATCAATTTCTCTTGAGGATCCCTCTTCTTAAAATTTTTAAAGAAATTTTTACCAAAGATATAAGGTATTCATGGTTAGAATCTAACTCTAAGCTCTTTAACGTTTTTACATTTTTATCACTGTTTTCCATTTTTTGTTCACCAGTGTATAGTTTTGAATGATTCCATCTGCCCAAATATATTTATGCCTCTCTCTGGTAAAACATGGTGTTTGCCACAGAGTGGTCATTCTCTTTGCAGAAACCCAGCATCCTCTGTCCTCTCTCATTTTTCTCCCCATTACTGAATTTTCCCATCACATTTGAGTTGTGATTTCTGAAATTGCCAATCTTGGAATTGAAATCACCCACCAATCACTAATATATAATGTCTTTCCTGTATGTATTCCTTATTTCTTCTATTAGACTGTTATAAAAAGATTCCATATCCTCTATTTTGTGGCTGTTGTTCCATATCCTCTGGGGCATATACTTGTATAATCTTGATGTAGATATTCCCATCCCTAGCTTTTAGCCTAATTGACAGAATTTTAGCAGAAACTTGGTTGATTTCTATAAAAATATTCACCAGGGTTTTTTTTAACAAGAATGGCAACTCCCTTCGTGTGTAAACCATCCCTGTGATTAGAGTAGTAGAGTTTTTCTCTCTAAGTTTTCCTGCAATATTCTCAGTTTCCCTGGTTTGTATAAAGATATGATAGTGATTGTGGAAATATGTCATATTTGTTTGCTTGACCACATATCCAACTTTACACCATACCTATGTGGTACTTGGTTTGGCATATTGGTTGCCCTGGATGCAGTAGCATTATTGTATTTCTTTGATTGTTGTGTTTTCATGGAGATTAGAGGTACAGTAGTGTAGCCACTCTCTTTGTTCATGGTTTCTTATTCTATATTCAGAGTACCCTGTTAGGGAACTAACACTTCATCCATCACCCAAAGAGATGCACCTGGTAGGGGTTAGGTCCCTCCAGGATTTAACAAATAGTATTTGAAAACTTTAAACTTAAATTCCACTCATTTTCACATCAATTTTAATTTATTAATTTAAACATGCTAGTATTTTTAAATAATCAAAGATGATAAATTGGTGCATTAAACAAATTGTAATGTTACACTGAAATTTTCTGGTATTACATCAGTAATGGAGAATCATCTGAAATCCAAGCATACTTTACTGCTGACTGAAAGTCAAAAAAGGGTAAGCAAATAAAATGATACTACTAACACAATGGTACCACTACACTAAATGATATTGTTTTCATTATCTGTTTAAATCTAGTTTTGAAAATCAAAACACTGAAAATCAGTATTATTTTAAAGCATAAGCAAAAGAAAAAAAAATTAATTTTAAACAGTTAAGTTCAAATTTTTCTTATTATTACTACATTAAAATTTATATTTTTTTTCTTAATTTATAAAATGAACAATTTCAACAAAAGTTTGAACAACTTCGATAAATTAGCAATCAGTGAATATTTTGATTTCATATTAAAAGTTTTATATTAAAAATTTTACAAAATTATTTATCATTATAAAATTCTTTTATTTAAATTTAATTTTAATTAATTAAAATCTTGTTGTTTTAATTTCAGGTAGTTGATTTGATTAATCAAGCTGTAACATTACCGAAAGATAGTAAAAAAGTATACAACTTAAAACAAGTTCAAGAATTAATTATTCATAAAGAACCAAATTTATTAGACAATTTTTTAGATGTAAGTCTTACTTTTTTGTATTTAATTTTTTAATATATACATTGTATTTTAATGGTATTTATAAATTCAATAAGAAAATTATAAAGCTTTTATTAAATTTAAAAAAATTTGATAAATAAAAATATTTAATTAAAACATTTAACAGTCTTTTATCAAATAATAATTAATGTAATAATAGTTTTAAGTTTTGAAGAAACTAAAGAAGAATGTAATAATAGTTTTAAGTTTTGAAGAAACTAAAGAAGAGATACTAATCTCTTCTTTAGTTTCTTCAAAACACAGAATACATAAATAAAGATGAATGAATTTTCAACAATATGCAAATTCTTTACAGTATGTTTCCAATGTCTACTATAATTAAATTGTTTAAATGAAAATAAAGAATGGTCTAATGATGGCAGAAACTTTAATAATAATAAAATAAATAGTAGAATAAAGTAATTTTTTTAATGGTTGAAATTAACAAAATTATTAGTTTATTGTAGCTAATACTCTATTCTCAACATCTTATGTTACATTCATTGATAAAAAAAGTTATACACCTAGATAAATTTGTTTGATTAGTGCAAAACACTGCAAGAGTTAAATCTCAAACAGTAAATAAATATTGGCAGTTATGGTTTGAAAGTATGCAAAGTACCACCAGAGCACCTTAAAATTGCTATCCCAGCATCCTGTAAAATAGCTTGCAGAGGCTCACTGGATTCAGAATTTTCAATGTATCTGTTGTTGTTGTCTTTGATGTGCTTCAAACCTGCCTTCACTCTTGAGCAGCACATGGCCCTGCTGCTGATGTGCTGGTCTAGGGGAGCCATCTTACAAGTCAATTGCAACTAATAGTGATGCAAGGGACATTGATGGCAAGACATGTTCAGAAAATCACATGCCTCGTATGTTACCTTTAATGACAGGGCAAACAGCCATTTTCTAGCAAGATAATGCTCAGTCACTCACAGCTAGGATTTTCTAGAGATATCTTTGTTATATTACCACTTTTGCTTGGCTTTCTCAGTCTCCAGATTTGTCAGCCATTGAGCATTTGTGGGATCAGATGAGATACCATCTATGAGTTAGAGGAATCTGCATCAGTAGTCACAACATCTGTGGGAAAATTTGTTGCAGGATAGCATATGGTGCCTGTATGCCTCAATGCTTAACCATATCCTCTATATACAGGCAAGAGGAAGTTTTATGATACTAAAGGTTTCTTTAAGTTGTACTGTTGTTTTACTAGAAACTTTTCCTTTGCTATGATATTGTAATCATTTACTACCATTATTACATTTTCACAAATAAAGTTTTATTTGATTCCAATGCTTTCTCCTTGGTATGTAACTTTTTTGTCAATGATTATATATCAAATTTCAATTTTGATACAATATAAGGCATTAAGAGAAATATGAGCAATGAAATTTAGTTTATAAACTTTGTTATTTGATAACTATATAAATTGTTTTAATTAAGGCACTATTTTTTATTTTAGGAAATGCTAGCATTTCAACATGATAAATCTTCAGATGTTAGAAAATTCATTGTAGGATTTATTGAAGAAGCATGGTAAATGTTTTAAGTAAATTTTTCGATTGATTTTTATATAAATTTTAAAAGTATGATATTATCTTAATATATAATTACAACTAAAGCAGTTAATAAATCTCTATAAAAAGATAATGTTTTGAGAATTAATTTTAAGCACAGAATTTTGATATTCAGTGAGGTTAACATAATAAATATACATTTATTTATCTGAAATGTAAAAGAATGAATCATTGCAGTATACAAAATAAACTAATATAGTATCTTCAGCAAAAGAAAGGATAGATGGATAAAAGTATGCCTGAACTTAAACATCCATAAACTTTTACATGTTACTAAAGTGTTCTGTTTATATATTATTTATCGAGTTGCTATTTTTTTTTTCCATATATATATATATATATATCTCAATCATCTGTACTTTCATATAAATGTTGATATTTATTTTTCTTGATTTTAAGAAATATGTATAACTTATAATTAAAAAATATATTAAATTTGCAAATAATAATAATTGAGTGATTAATTTTATTAATAAACAAATAACATTTACATTGTAAATTTTAAATAAGAACTAAACAAAATAAATAAAACTACTTTTCTATTATTCCTAAACATTTCTTAAAATAATCTATAAAAAAATATTTATAGTTCATCTTCAGAGCTAAAATTTATCAAAATAATTGAATATTTTCAATTACTTTCATAACATTTAAATTAACATTAATTTCCATTTCCATGCCTACAAAATTTTAGCTTATGCATGAATTGGGCATNTTGTTTTTTGCCCCCCAAAATATAAATTGTTACTACGTATCCGATATTTCCATCAGATATACTTCACATTTTTACATTTTAAAAATGTTCAAAATTTAAAAAAAAAAAAATATATATATGCCCATTTATATTATATTATATTGCCCTATTTAAAGTAATAATTAATACATTGTAAAATTAAAAAATAATAAATACAGTAAAATGTCAGTGTAATGAATTTGTGGAGATCACAAAAATACATATATTGTAGTGAAATTTCATTACAATGAAATATAGTCAAAATACTACAACTCTTTCTAACCTGTTACTGAAGACTGGAGGTCCGGGTAGCATAATTGGCAACGCATCAGACAGCAGGAGTTAGAGTCTTGCTCTGGACCAATTCTTTTCTTCCAGTTTAATCTAAAATTATTGAATTAAATTCAATAATTATAATACTCAAATTTATCAGTAATTTATAATTATTATAGCTGATATATAGCCTGTTGTTATATGGCAGTTGATGTAGTGTTATTATAATGTATTGGGTTTCATAAGATGTTTGTATTTAGATGTCATCTTTGAGGTTAGGTGTGGTGAGCAGGTGCATTGTCCAGGACGAGAAGGGCTTGCAGGGGTAGGTTATTTTCCTGGAGATATTTCTTAACATCAGGACCTAAGTTCAAATTTACCCACTCCACAAAGAACTTCCTGGTGACCCAACCTTGGTGAGGTTTGTTCTCCACATAATCTGCAGTTTTTCTTTCAGAATCTTATATGACAGAGGCTTTGGGTTTTCTGAATGATAAATGAGCAGTGGCTTAATCTTGCAGTTGCCACTCACATTAGCACACAGTGCAAGGGTTAGCCTATCCTTCATGGGTTTGTGGCCTGCCATCCTCTTCTCCTTTGCCATTATAATAGTCCTCCTTGGCATCAGAAGAGTCCTGTCTCATCACAGTTTGAAGACTTGCTGGGGATGTATCCTTCAGCTGCTATAATTCCAGCAAAAATTTTGAGATAATCCTCAGCTGCCTTCATATCTGTGCTCACTGCCTAACCATGCCTGACAACAAATCATGAGGGGAGATTTTTTTTTATGCAACATTGTGAAGTTTTGCATTTGTTGAAAAGGACATTGCCATCAATATCATGATCATTTGGATTTTTATTGTTGCTTAATGTCAGATGTAAATCTTTGCAATGTTTTAACAACAAAAACATTTCAATTGGATATGATAAAATACTGCCTAATGTCACAAAAACAAGTGTATTTTAAAATCTTTTGTACTAGTTAGTGGTTTATCATTCACTTCATAACTAAATATTCTTTTCCTTTTTCTTTTTTCAAATATCTGGAAAAATGATTCTACATTCAAAATATCTGTCATCTTCTTTGCAGATAAAATAATACTTTTTTCAAAATTTTGATTTGTTCTATAATCTTACTTTCCCAGCTGTTATGTATGCATAACAAGGGAAAGTATTGGAATCGTGTCAAATTTGACCTTTCGAGTTTTTTGCAAATATACACATTTTCAGACCTCCTGAATCCAAAAAGTAAAAAAAAAAAACTCAGCAAAAAAATTCTGAGTGTGGTATTGGCATCTATTTTGCTTAATATTTCAGGATGGAGTAAAGATTAAGAAATGAAATTTGGCATGGTGGCTTGCATTTGAGGGCATTGATGCTATTAAATGTTGGAAATAAAAGGTTGAGAAGATAGATATAGAGGTGGATCTTGTATCTTGAGAGGGGTAGGACTTAACCCTAGATAACTAAACTTAAATTCCAGTTACATTATAACTACACATTCATCGAGCGGACTACGCATTAAAAAATGTTAATATCAACAAAATTGTTTAATAAAAATAGGAACTTTTTACATGGCACAATAGTATGGATAAATATACTATTGTTATTTATTGTTAAAATATTTAGGAAATAAGATTACATGCAGTTGCTACGTGTTAACATTATGGGGGCCGCAAAATGCATTTTTGCATTTCATGCAACAGTGATTTGTCATTTGTCGAGCTTTCGATGGGCATAAATAGCATATTTTATGCGGATTCGATGCAGAATGAGTAGAAGCTTTTACACTGGGCACATCACCTAGAATATCCTGTATTATGGTTCTGATGTCATGCCTCAAAGGTACTGTCTGTAACCACTGTTGTAGCCGGGGCTCCATGAGTTTGTCTCCCATCTTCATAAAGAAATTCCACCGGGACATCGTTTTTTTTTTTTTTTTTTTTGTTTCTGACGTTATTAGAGACATAGATAGCATAGCTGTTTATTGCCAATAGGTTTAACATATTATAAAACACGCATAGTGGCCACCTTTTGGTTTTGTCTCATATTTGAACACATTTGATCTACTGTGTCTACCTTTTGTACTATTAAAAAATGTATTATTTGTGGTTTTCCTGTATTTTTATCGATGTTAAGTTGATCATGAATAGTCGACAAAACATAAACAACTTTATTTGACTTGGCTTTGTACGAAACTAATGTCTTATTGCCATTGTAACAAAATATTGAAGTACCAATAGCGTGTGATTTATAATTTTTTAATTTTTCAGGAATTTCTCTTTCGTTACTTCTAAGAGTGCCAACTAAGGTCAAATTATAAGGTGACTTCAATAGTTCATCTGCCAAAGATACAGATGTGAACCTGTTATCTGTAGTAATGTTACAGTTTGTTCCATGTAAAAAAGATGTTATTTTCTTTATGAAAAATGTAGCCAATATTTGTTTCTGAGGATCAGTACCTTTTCCCAAATAGAGAATGGCATTTATCACATACTAACTGTTTATATCTGCAGCCATAACAATGTACAGGTACATAATGTACATGACTTTACAACAAAGTTATGTAGTAGCTGAACTTTCATCGAGCAGACTATGGGATGGCCGTAAGTCAATTTCTAATTGACATGTGAACACAATTACATCACAGGTGGCACTGTTTATTCAAATTATTAAGGTAGAAAAAGAATGACTGACAGGAAGTGCGGGAAAGTTTCTGAATTTCACTTTTGAGTGGAGATGCATCATCATGTGGATGAATGATTAGTTATCTAGGGTTAATAAAGATTTTATTCATTATTAACATTTGCACTTTCATAAAATTCAGCCCTATCCTCAAAAATAAGCTTTTTGTTATTTTATACTACAGCAGACCCCCTATAACACGGTAGATACATTCTGTTTTATATGAATTCCGTGTTTTACAAGTCACTTAAATACATGAGCCAATCACAGTCTGGCACGTGTGCAGTTTATGGACTATGGCTGTTTGAAAGGTTTTCTTCTATAAAATTAATTGATTCTAGACTATTTTGACTCAACATTTCCAAAATATATATAATTTTTTGGGAATAATCCATATAAACTATGCTATAAACAAAAAATTGTAGGATTACTTACCAAGTGTGCACTGTTTGATGACGCCATTGCTTAAGCTTGTTTTCGTTGCGGAGCAGTGCATCAAACAGTGGGCACATGTTTTCTGATAAGTTATTTTTCTGCGAAAAATTCTCTGAACTTTGGAGACATCATTAATATAAATATAATTTTTATGGCTGTTAAATAATAAATGGTTTTTAATAGGTCCGCTGCTCGTTTAAACTCAACGGTTTGTGCAATATCTGCTATTGGTCTAAATTTGACCAATCCTGTCACAACACAGTTGGTGATGACATTTTACTGTATTATACGAGTGTCTTATAGTGTGTTTATATGAATACGATCGCAATTTTTTTGCCGTGTTATATGAAGCCGTGTTATAGGGGGTCTACTGTAATTAAAAATATAAAAAATTTTTATAACAAAAAATAAAATCTGATAACAGATGGTGCCATGTATAATTTTATTTTTTGCATAATAATAATATAAAAGTTTTTTAAATAAAAACTCATAACAACCAGGGAAGTTGTGCAACTTGTTGCTAGATTTTTTAATTCTTTTGTAATTTGTTCA